AACTCATGGACCGGGAGATCAAGACCTGAGCCGAAGTCGGACGCTTAACCGACTGAGCCACCCAGGTGCCCCAGTTAAGCTTTAAGAAGGCAGAAAAAGAAGAGGAAAAAGGGGACCATGAACATAATGCAGCAACAGCACAAAATAGCTTGCTGAACTGCCTCTCAACCATTACACAAAGTAGTATGTGTTGATTTAAAAATTTTTAATAATGTCGATTTTTGAATTCCGTAATAACTACAGGAGAAGAAAATTTGACATGGGATTAGAAGTTTCAGAGATGCTATATTTCTGCTCGAAAACAAGCATTCTAGTTACTTAGTCAAGGGCAGCCAAGCTTTATTATACTTTTTTCATTGACATTATAAACAATCATTTTTGGTACAAAACCAGCTTTAGTAATCCTAAAGCCTCCCAAATATATCATTTGTTATACCTGACAGTTCAGTTGTTTCATTTATTCTTTTATGAGCTTAAGACACCCCCGTGATAACGTGCCCTTTGTATTGATTTACTTTTACAAACTCTAAATAAAAATTTGTTTAAAAGCATCATTTTAACTTCTTCCTGCAGTGCGTAAATTGCAGCAGAGCTTAAAAGACATGCCAATTTGGGAAATAAAGGTGCTTTTGTGTTTGGGTTTACATTCTCAGCATGATCTAGTTGCTAATACCTGCTTGCATTTATATTCCTGTTCTTGATGTTTGTGGGGGAGATTTTTTTAGAACAAAACGGAAGTCTTTGTTTCACCTTGGCTTCAAGAGAGAAAAAATGGAAGATAGTCCAAATCTCCAGCCAAACTGTAAGTTCCTCTGAAATTCACCCTCTGCAAAGTGAAAAAAACAAAAAACAAAAAACAAAAAACCATGAGATTTAAGCTACATCTTACTCTTTCCTGTTCCCTCTGCAATCGTATTCAAAAATCAGTGAACTAAGTCTGCTAGAAGGAGAGCTCAGGTGTTTTGTCTTGGAATCCTAAGAAATGGTTCAACCCTCTTGTTTTCCTGATGACAAGAAGTAAAATCACCCCCTTGGGTATTCCTCCCTTCTGTAGCTGAGTTCCTGAGTTTTTTTGTGTGTATTGTGGGTAAGGAGGAGATTTGATGGTCTGACACTGAAAATGGCAGACATTTGCTTGTAGACAGAGAAATACCTCTCAACCACCCCAGCAGTATTGTAGGTTGATTTGATCACCTAGACCCGTTGGGTGAATGCACTGAGAGAAAATGACAAAGGTCCGCGTGGGCTAGTGTGGAAAGAATTTGAGGGATTTTTCAAGCAAAGAAAGAGAGATTTTTGTTTTTCTTTTTCTGGAGCAGCTGCCTAGCTTGGGAGAAGCGAGGGCAGGAAGGAGTATGTTATGAATGTCATTTGTTTCGAACAAGCTTTTGGGTGGTAGGTAGATTTCATATCAAATATTCCATATCAAATACCATGGAACTGGTATTTCATTAAATGTGATGCCACCTGAAACCTGTCACCACCGGGCTTTATTTAGA